GTTTCCGAATTAATCTGCTGATTTGAAAAGGGCATAAAGAAAGAATTTCCTTCGTCTTATCTTTCCCCAAACTTCGATGCAATCTTAAGGTGGAAGTAAACACAAAAATCTGCTGTTTTGTTTAATTCAATCCTGTTCTCCTTTCCTTCTCTAATTTAAGGTATATTCACAAAATGAACACTAAAAACTGCAAATTAATCTCTTGTCCTTCTAACCCCTTCTAATTTGAATTATTTTGGCAGAAAGTAACTATAACAAGTAGCTAATTTAGACAGTAACATTTTCATGTTCATGCAGATGCCTGGGTGTTATGATGTAACAGTGTCCAGACTCACAGACAGTGTTTGAAAGTGAGATTTGAGGTTTTCACATTGTGGCGAGGATGATGTTCTTTTTGGTTCTGGTGCCATGTGGACTGGCTGATAGATACCAGTGTTTCGGAGAAGCATACTGTCTCCATATTCAGAGCCGAAGTGACAATGCATTGTCCAAGTGGAAAATAATGTGCCCACAGTACATGTTACTTCATTTGTTTGCAGTATATCTCTTCTACCAGTGGTTCTGTGTCCTGAGCTTCATACAGATTGTGAAGGAACTTGAGCTGGTGCATAAGATGGGTCACTATGAAGAAGGCAAACTGAATTTTCACAAATACCAGCGCATGAATGTGCTGGAGCTTGGGGCAGAACGTTATCCAATGAGTGAAGATTTTGTACCAGTTGCAGACTTCAGTCGCCACTATAATAAGAAATCAATTAATGAGAATATTCGTTCAAGATTTAGCATAGATAGTGATTATAATAATGTAATGGCCAGACCTGTATATTAGAGTAAGTCCTTGCACATTTCAGTATGGAGTCAGGAAATTCAATATCTGTTTCTCTACAAAATGTTTGCACTGCTTTGCTGTGCAGGTAACTCTTATAATTTTTTAGCACTGTCACCTTCTATCTCTGTGCATGTTTTTCAATGCCATGACGTCACTGTGTGGTCATGCTACATGCTGCACCTTCTCACTGAGTATGAAATTTTGTAAAAGAGACAAGTCTGGGAGGAGAATTCTTTGTTTTCTTGCAACATCTGCTTGAAATTACAATTCAGTAGTAGAAACTAGGTATATGCAGTGAACTAAGGGATGACTAACACAATTCCTCATAGAACTATATAGGACAGAATATGTTGGAAAAGGGGATTAGAGGCTATCAACATGAAGATGTTTAAAACTGTAAGTTGTATATTGTTAAATAAACCCACTATTACACAGAAATTTGTACACTTACAGTCCAACTGGGTGGCAGTCCTTACAGTTCCAGCCTCCAAC